TCTCTATGTGGACTCATGCAATTTTTGTCTTCTTGCCACTGGCTTATTTCACATAGACTAATGTTTTCGAGGGTCATCCATGTTGTTGCATATGGCACAATTTCCTCCTTTTTTTAAGGCTAAACAATATTCCATTGTGCATATGTATCACATTTTCTCTTTGAGACAGGATCTCACTCTGTTATCTAGGCTGGAGTACAGTGGCGTGATCACACTCACTGCATCAGCCTTGACCTTCTGGGCTCAAACATTGTCCTAGCTCAGCCTCTTTGAATAGTTGGGACCACATGGGTGAGCCACCATGCCTATCTAATTTTTTGATTTTTTGTGGTGACGAGGTCTCACTGTTTTTCCCGAGTTGGTCTTGAACTCCTAGGCTCAAGTGATCCTCCCGCCTCGACTTCCCAAAGTGCTGGCATTACAGGTTTGAGTCACTGCACCCAGTCCTTTTTTTTTTTTTTTTAAAGAGTCTTGCTCTGTTGCCCAGGCTGGAGTGCAGTGGTGCAGTTGTACCTCACTGCATCCCGAGCCATCGCATGCATCTACCTCATTTTTCATTATCAATTCATCTGTCAATGGGCATATAGATTGTTTCCACATCTTACCTTTTGTGAATAATGGTGCAGTGAGCATGGAAGTGTAGCTATCTCTTTAAAATCCTGATTTCAATTTGTTTGGATACGTACCCACAGGTAGGATTGCTGGATCATGTGGTAGCTCTATTTTTAAATTTTTGAGGAACCTCCATACTGTTTTTCTTTTTTCTCTTCTCTTCTCTTCTCCTCTCCCCTCTCCCCTCTCCCCTCTCCCCTCTCTTCTCTTTTCTCTGCCGCCATCCTCCTTGCCTCTCATCTTGGTTCTCCTGGGAAAAGTTAGTTACTTCTAGGGTATTATTAGATTGGTCCAAAAGTAATTGTGGGTTTTGCCACTGAAAATAATTACTTCTGTACCAAAGTAATACTTTTTCTCCCAAGGAGTTTAATAGAAGGATTCCTGCAAACCAGAAACCCAAAGGGATATTTCTGACATGGTGGGTGTCAGACCAGCAGGGAGAGAGGTCTGAGTTTCTGCTAGGCGCTGCCTGGGAGCCACTTTGTCAGCATTTGTTTGCTCCACTTGGGAGGCTGCCCTGCCAGGGACACCTTTTCCCACTGGAAGCGCCGTCTGAATCCAGTACTACTTTTTTTGTCTTTAAAAAGAAAAAAAAAAGTCTGTATCTGCCTTACTTCAGCTGTTGGCACTGAACTCTCAGTACAATTATTATTATTTTTTTTTGAGAGGAGTCTTGCTGTGTTGCCCAGGCTGGAGTGCAGTGGTACAGTCTTGGCTCACTGCAACCTCTGCCTCCCCAGTTCAAGCAATTCTCCTCCCTCAGCCTCCTGAGTAGCTGGGATTACAGATGTGCGCCACCATGCCCAGCTGATTTTTGTCCTTTTAGTGGAGATGGAGTTTCACCACGTTGGCCAGGCTGGTCTTGAACTCCTGACCTCAAGCAACCCGCTGGCCTTGGCCTCCCAAGGTGCTGAGATTACAGGTGTGAGCCACTGCTCCCAACTCATCAGTACAATTAAAAAAAAAAAAAAAAAGTTACAACCACTGAAGCATGGATGTCACATGGGAAATTTTTTCCGTGTACAGGAGGTCAGAAATAGTCTCCCACCTCTTCGGTTGTGAGCAAAAGCTCATGGAAATGGCTCACTACAAACCTTTATGTCTCCACTGGCCCTTACACGGTCTTCCACAAGACTTGTGCATTTGTGTTGAAAGGAATTTGCTGGAACATTCAGATTGCTGTCTATTACCAAGGCAGATCCTTAAATAAAAATATTTAATAAATATATATCTATATATATAGGGATATATATGCATACATATATATATATATATAGAGAGAGAGAGATGTAACTCTATAGTTACATATATATAGTTATATATATATATATATAGAGAGAGAGAGAGACAGAGAGAGAGAGAGAGAGGGATGGACGGAATGTTGCTTAGCTGCCCAGGCTGGAATACAGTGACAGTATCTCAGCTCACTGCAACCACCATCTCCCAGGTTCAAACAGTTCTCCCATCCCAGCCTCCCTCTCGAGTAGCTGTGATTACAGGTACTCACCATTGTGCCTGACTAATTTTTTTGTATTTTAGTAGAGATGGGATTTCACCATGTTGGCCAGGCTGGTCTTGAACTCCTGACCTCAGGTGATCTGTCCGCCTCGGCCTCCCAAAATGCTAGGATTACAGGCATGAGCCACTGTGTCTAGCCAATAAAATATATTTTTGAACAGCCACATAGCAGAATCAAATAGCCTAGTTAAAAACAGCTGTTAGCAAAAGACAGGAAAGTTTCCAGCTGAAGCCAGCTTTGAATGGAAGGCAGATCATGCATGGCATGGGCAGTTTTGATGTGTGTAGTTTGTGGATGTCAGACTTTTGAACATCTTGTGTTCTCTTTCATGCCAATATTATAACAGCAATTCTTTTTTTTGCTTTTTGTAAGATGGTCTTACTCCGTCACCCCGGCTAGAGTGCAGTGGTGCCATGCTAGCTCTCTATAGCAGAGATAGGGTTTCACCATTTTGGCCAGGCTGTTCTCGAACGCCTGACCTCAAGTGATCCGCCCACCTTGGCCTCCCGAACCCCTCCTGCTGGGGTTACAGGCATGAGCCACTGCTACCCAGCCCAGGCTGAGAGCAGTTCTTACAGATACTAACAGCTTGTACGAAATATCCCACACCCCTCCACAGTTGTCCTCACCCACTTGAAAGTATGACTGCAATATGTACATTCACATTGCATGTAACAGCAGTAGTTCTCATACTCCATGCTTGTATTCTAAGTAGCTGACTACATGCATGTCTTACCCCAGTTCACAAGTTCTAGAAAGTCAGAGATGCCTGGTTTATCTGTACAGAGGCAGTGTGAATATGGTACCAGTAGTTAGCAATGTCCACTCTGGAGCCAAACTGCTAAGGCTTAATCCGTGGGTTCCCATGAAGCAACTGTGCGACCTTGGGCCATTTAACCTCTCTGTGGCAGCTCACTCCCCATCTGGGAAATGGGGCTTCATCATAGTATCTCCCTGAAACACAGAAAAACTATGGTAGCTGTTACAAATGTTAGCCGTTGTTTCCGTGGCCACTTCAGTGCTTGACACATAGAAGGTACCAAAAACTGCAATCCATTCAGCATTATTCACCCAATGTATGTCAGTGTCCAGCACTGTCCCAGGAGCCAGAGACAGGGCTGGATTGAATGTAATCAGGGACACCATCCTCATTGCATTCCCGGAGGCGCCATTAACAGAATAGCATTGGCAAATGCAATAGACGAAGTCTCTGTCCTCCTGGAGGTTATAGGCTAACATGAAACAGAACCAGGAAAACCACGAGATATTGTTGGGCAGGTCACTGAAGGAATACATAAGATCTTGAGAAGTGCTCTAAAAAAACAAGACAGAGGCTGGGCGCCATGGCTCACGCCTTTAATCCAAGCACTTCCGGAGGCTGAGGCAGGTGGATCACTTGAGCCCAGGAGCTCGAGACCAGCCTGGGCAACATGGCAAGACCTCATCGCTACAAAAAATACATAAATTAGCCACGCCTGGTGGTATGTACCCATAGTCCCAGCTCCTCGGGAGGCTGAGGTGAGAGGAGGATTGCTTGAGCCCGGAAAGTCAAGGCTGCAGTGAGCTGTGATCATGCCACTGTACTGCAGCCAGGTGACAGAGTGAGACCCTGTCTCAGAACCAAAAAAAAAGAGGATGATTTGTGATGAAGAGAGAGAAAGAGGGCTGCAGATGGACGATCAGGGAAGGCCTCATTAAGGAGCTAATGTGTAAGATGAGAACTGCAGACTACCAAGGGCCAAGCCCTGGGACACAGACTCTAGTCAGAGAGAACGTGCCTGGCTGGAGGCCAGAACCTGGTGCCATTCTGTGCTCTTTGTCCTGCTCTGTGTGGGGGACTCTGGAGACCATCTCACCTATCCTTCCTCTGGTTCCCAATTTGTTCAGTCAGTAGGAGGCAGCAGCATGAGGCAGGGCAGGAGGAAAGCGAGGCTGGGATATTTCTCCCCGCATGCTCGCTGGGCCATGTTTTGGCAGTGGCTTTGTTCCTGCACCCAAGACCACATCTTGGGCTAAATGGCCTCCTGCCATTGCAGGTTCCAGTCATGCTGTTTCCCCTGCCATGATGTGGCTGGGGTTAGGGAAGGAGACCCGCATGGGGCAGGCCAGTGAGGCCATGGAGGGGGCTGGCTGCACAGAGCCTCTGCATGGAATGAGAAGTCTGGAGAGCTTTCAGCGGGGCATCTCCAGACTTACATACACCTATTTGGAATGGAATTGAAGCTGCTCGCTTTCTTACACCCCAAAACTTTTTATAGATGCAGCTTAGCATCTGAGAAACACTGTTGGCTATAAACTCTGTGACTATCTCCCAGGTTTTGCTTCTCCCAAGACGGCGTCCTCCATTTGGCTGTTACTGTTGTTGAGCATCCCAAAGAGTGAGGCTCTATTTAAAGCCACTGCCTCGAGTGGTGACGGATCATCTGGGGGCTCACCCAGTGTAGGTGGCTTCTGCCGTTCCATCTGCTACTATGCCCACAATCTTGCTTTTGTGGTTGGAACAGGGCTTAATTTTTTTTTTTTTTTTTTTTTTTTACTGCTACAACCCACAGAAAAACAAGAGTGTAATTTTGGAAACAGGCCATTAAGCTGACAGGTAACTTTGCCTTCTCTTTCTTGGGATCCAAAAAGGGATTCTCAAAGCTCGTTTGCCTAGACAAGAGGATGTTGATCCGTGGGAATCACATTTTGTCATTTTCCCCTGTATTGTGTAACCAGGCTTGTGAGTGGGTCTTGCCTTTGTTCGGTAACTGACAACCTGAATTTCCCTACAGCTGCTGAGGGAGGATCTGGGTTTTTGTGTTGATTTTCTTTTTCCCCTCCCTGCTTTATCTTTGGGATTATTTATCCTTTTTTTTTTCTCTGCTAGGATCATCCTGAACGTGGGGTCCTGTTTCTTGTTCGAGAGCTTCTCAACGTGATCCAGGACTACACCTGGGAGGACAACAGCGACGAGAAAATCCGCATCTACACCTGCGTCCTGCATCTCCTCTCCGCCATGAGCCAGGAGACCTACCTTTACCACATAGACAAAGGTAGCGGAGACTCCCCCACCAAACCATGCTCTGTGTGGATTCCATGAAAGGCGAACACAATGCTCTCATTTTCTCTTTTATTTTTTCCTCCCTTGTATTTTAGCTCTCATGAACTTCTAGTCCAGGGTCTCACTGTATTTACCTGATCTAAAACTTACCTGGGGCAACTCTTAAGAGTACAGATTCTTGGGCCAGATGCAGTGGCTCAAGCCTGTAATCCCAGAACTTTGGGAGGCCAAGGCGGGTGAATCACCTGAGGTCAGGAGTTGAAGACCAGCTTGGCAAACATAGTGAAACATACTAAAAATACAAAAATTAGTGGTGCATGGTGGTGTGCCCCTGTAATCCCAGCTCCTCGGGAGACTGAGGCAGGAGAATCGCTTGAACCTGGGAGGCAGAGGTGGCAGTGAGCCAAGATCGCACCACTGCACTCCAGCCTAGGCAACAAGAGTGAAAATTCCGTCTCAAAAACAAGGACAGATTCTTCCCTGCCCTTTATTTATTTGTTTATTGGAAACCAGGTCTCACTCTCACCCAGGCTGGAGTGCAGTGATGTGATCTCTGCCCACTGCGGCCTTGACAGCCCAGGCTTAAGCAATACTCCTACCTCAGCTTCCCAAGTAGCTGGGATTACAGGCAGGCACCACTGTACCTGGATAATTTTTTAAAATTTTTTGTGAAGACAGGGTCTCACCATGTTACTCACGCTGGTCTCAAACTCCTGGGCTCAAGCAATCTACCTGTCTCAGCCTCCCAAAGTGCTGGGATTACAAGCATGAGCCACCGCACCTGGGCTTTCCTTCTTAATTTGCATCTTTAACAAGCACCTGAGATCATGTTGAACGTCAGACCAGTTTGGAAAAACACTCTTTACAAAATAATAATAGGCCGGGCACTGTGGCTCATGCCTCTAATCCCAGCACTTTGGGAGGCTAAGGAGGGTAGATCATGAGGTCAAGAGATCAAAACCATACTGGCCAACGTGGAGAAACCTTGTTTCTACCAAAAATAAAAAGATTAGCTAGGCATGGTTGGCGCGCGCCTGTAGTCCCAGCTACTCGGGAGGCTAAGGCAGGAGAATTGCTTGAACTCGGGAGGTAGAGGTTGCAGTGAGCCAAGATCGCTCCACTGAACTCCAGCCTGGCAACAGAGCGAGACTTTGTCTCAAATAATAATAATAATTTCAACTTTTAGATTTAGGAAGTATACGTGCAGGTTTGTTCCATGGGCATATTGTGCAATGCCGAGGTTTGGGGTGCAAATGAGATAGTGCCCAATAGGTAGTTTTTCAGCCCTTGTCCCCTCCCCTTCCTCCTCTGTCTAGTAGTTCCCAGTGTCTGTTTTTCCCATGTTTATGCCCAATGGTACCCATTGCTTAGTGCCCACTTACAGGTGAGAACATGCGGTAGTGGGTTTTCTGTTTCTGCACTAGTTCACTTAGGATAATGGCCTCCAGCTGCACCCATGTTGCCATGAAGATCTCTTTCTTTTTTATGGCTGCATAGTATTCCATTGTGTATATGTACCACATTTTCTTTATCCAGTCCATTGTTGATGAGCATCTAAGTTGATCCCATGTCTTTTCTATTGTGAATGATGCTGCAGTTAACATACGTGTGTGTGTGTCTTTTCAGTAGAATGATTTATTTTCCTTTGGGTATATACCCAGTAGTGGGATTGCTGGGTTGAATGGTAGTTCTTAAGTTGTGAGAGATCTCCAAACTGCTTTCCACAGTGGCTGAACTCATTTGCATTTCCACCAACAGTGTGTAAGTGTTCTCTTTTCAGAGGAACACTCTTTTGGATCAGTGTGCTACACAATAAACTGGAACAATGGCTAAATATACACATGCATGAGCTTCATGCCAGGCCCGTTCCTTCCCCCAGTCTCAGGCAGGAGCCTGGTGTGGGTGTTTGCAACCTGCTCCTCAGGTAATCCCAAGGCTCAGTGGCCCTTATCTGGGTGTTCTGGAGGAAGGAGGTGGCCTTGATCCCCTGCCTGCTACCAGACATTGGAACTTGCTAGTGCAAGTTGGGAGCAGCCTCCTTATGTCCTGGACTTATTACAGGACATTCCAGTTCCAGGCCTTTTCCCACTGAGCCCAGCTATCCTGCCTGGCAGACCCTCAGTTCTAATTTTTGGCTTCCAAAAATTGGTCCTAATGTCAAAAGTGCTTTGGCCAGTAACGGTATTCTTTACGGTTTAAAAAACCGTCTCTACACTTGGAAGTTGCAGTGAACACATTAGCAGTGCTTAAGGGATGGCCTACCTTCTGTCATGCCTCTCAGACTTTCTCTAGCCAGGATCTGGGGACTGAGGATAAAGATGTCACTTAGAGAGGCTGGTTCATAGCAAAAATGGTGGCCGCTACCCTGACCTGAGCACGTACTGCATGCCCAGGGACTAAGGGCCTTTTTCCCCTAATCCTTACAGCTTTACTGTGAGGACAGGCATTCATGTCCCTATTTTATGTATAAGCAAGAGGAGATCCAGCAAGACAATGTGATCTACTCCACGGCTTCCGCTAGTTAGTGATGGAAGTGGAACTCACACGCAGAGCGGTGGGACATTTATTACACGGCTTTCTTGATTACAAAATAGCAGTGCTGGCTGGGCGCAGTGACTCATGCCTATAATGCCAGCACTTTGAGAGGTAGACTCAGGTAGATCACCTGAGGTCAAGAGTTCGAGGCTACATGTTGAAACCCCATGTCTATTAAAAATTAGCCGGTCGTGGCGGCAGGCGCCTATAATCCCAGCTACTTGGGCGGCTGATGCAGGAGAATCGCTTGAGCCAAGATCGCACCACCGAACTCCAGCCGGGGTTCCGGAGATAGCAAGATTCCATCTCAAAAAACAAAAAAGCAATGCTTTAATTAAAGTGTATTATATAACATACTTGCAGTAAACTGTAGCGCTCAGTGACTTGTCACAGTGAACACTCCCAGGTAACCACAGTCCAGATCAAGAAAGAGAACACCTCCCTCCGTCAGCATCTCTATACTCTCCAGAGACACACCACTGTCTCTCCTCATTTCTGGCATTATTAGTTAGATTGCCACTTTCTAAATTTTATGTAAATGTAGTATTTTGCAAGCATTCTTTGGCATCTGCCTGCTTTAACTCAGCACGATGTCCAAGATTAATCTGTGTTGGTATGCAGAAGTGTAGTTTACCCTTTTTTGCATTGCTGTATAGTATTCCTTTGTGTGAAGATACCAGAATTGATTCATTCATTCTGGATGGACACTTGCATGTTGCCGGCTCCAGTTTCGGGCCATTATGAATAGTGCAGCTGTAAAATTCTTGCATGTATTTCTTGGTGTACATTCCCATTGGCTGTCTGCCTGGGGGGTGGCATTGCTGGCTCATAGGATCTGCTTCTCTTCTGCGTTGGTGGATACTGCCTCAGAGTTTCCCAAAGGATTAAACCAGTCGACATTCCCACCAGGCACGAATGAAGCTTCCATTTGTTCAGTTGCTATGGTCAGTCTTTTTCGTGTCAGCTGTTCTAGGAGTGGAGTTTGCATTTCTTTGATGACTGGCAAGGTTGACCACCTTTCCCTGTATTTCTTTATCTTTTTTTTTTTTTTTTTTGAGATGGAGTCTCCCCCTCTTGCCCAGGCTGGATTGCAGTTGTGCAATCTCGGCTTATTGCAACCTCCACCTCTCCAGCTTAAGCAATTCTCCAGCCTCAGCTGTCCAAATAGCTGAGATTACAGGTGCCCACCACCACACCCAGCTCATTTTTGTATTTTTAGTAGGGATGGGCTTTCACCATGTTGGCCAGGCTGGGTCTTGAACTCCTGACCTCGTGACCCACCCACCTCAGCCTCCCAAAGTGCTGGGATTACAGGCGTGAGCCACCACGCCCAGCCCTTTCCCTGTATTTCTTGGCATTTTTGTTTTTTCTTTTGTGAAGTGCACATTGAAGGCTCTGAACAAAAGAGAAAGCTTCGAGTACCAGACAGAGACCTGGCAGTTAGGCTGTCAGAAGCCTATGCCCTGCCCTCTCCTCTCCCTCCTTTCTTTCCTCTCCCTCAAACAGACTCAGTCCATCCTTTCTCTGAACAAGCCTGCCAGTAAACACTACCAGAGCCAGATTGGCAGCAGAGGGAGCGAGGCCATATTTGATAGGCAAGAGTGTAGTTTTCTAGCTTTTAAAGATGAAAACAGAAGGATGGATTTTCTTTTTCTTCCACTTAGTCCAGCTGTGTTGACTTTGAATGCACAACTGTGACCTGCCCAGTGTCTTAGTAGGAGACCCAGGGAATCACAGGGGCTCTGGAGGGTCTGGGGCTCCTTTTTCCCTGTTTGCTTCCTCATTCTAGGGAGGCTTGTAGACGATGTTGACACAGCCTAGAATTTCTGGAAAAGAGGGGCTAAATAATTCTTGCATTTTTGGAGGGTGCCTTGCTGCTTTCTTCCCAGATTAAGAAAAAAAGAGAAGGCTCTGGCCGGGCACGGTGGCTCACACCTGTAATCCCAGCACTTTGGGAGGCTGAGGTGGGTGGATTACGAGGTCAAGAGTTCAAACCAAGTTTGGCCAAGATGGTGAAACCCCATCTCTACTAAAACAAAAATTAGCTGGCTGTGGTGGTGGGCGCCTGTAATCCCAGCTACTTGGGAGGCTGAAGCAGGAGAATCACTTGAACCCGGGAGGTGGGGGTTGCAGTGAGCCATGATTATGCCACTGCACTCTAGCCTGGGTGACAGAGCAAGAGGCCATCTCAAAAAAAAAAAAAAAAAAAAAAAGGCTCTGACATTGCCTGGAGCAATCCTTCTAGTACTTTCACACAAGGTTACAAGAGAGTGTGCATGTTTGATGTAGAAGTGAAGAATAGTCCTGGACACCCAGTGTTTATTTAGTGTGCAAATAAGTGTGTGTCTTTATTGGAAGAATATAACCCAGGATGCTTCTGTGAAGCCAAGGCAGCCCTCTTCACTCTTCCACGTCACCTGCCAGGCCCTTGAAGCATTTGGGTTTGCAACTTGGGGT